TAGCCACGGAGCCTGGGCTGCTCCCAGCAGGGCTTGCAGCATGCCTGCTGGGAGAAGCCCAGGCTCCCAGCTGGCAGCAGCTACCCAAAGCCGGAGCCAGCTGCAGCCAGAAGGCTGCAAGCAGCTGCTGCCTTCCTGGCCCCACAAGGTATGCTCGCATTGAAACATTAAGTTTTAATTTACTTTGCTTCTTACAGTTAAGCAACAGTTCTCATTACTCTCAATATCCTCTGAATACAACCTACACCCCTGGAATATTCTTAACAGCACTTCAAGGCTGTGCAGCTCTGGGTACAGTGAATACCAGTAAAGGCAAATACCAGTAAATAAGTCAGTCTGAACTCAATGCAAAGACTGAGGGAAGGGGCTGGAGGCTCCCTGCTTCTGACAGCTAGGATGCCACTTCAGGGGCTCACATCCAAGAAAAACACTGTAAGCCCCGGCAACCCACTCAGCATCACCAGCTCTCCACCTTTTGGCGTCTCTTTCTTTGGATGCCACAGCCCCTCAGAAAACACTGGTTCCTTGCTGCCACTGGTTCTTGACCGGGGTAAAAAACACTAGGCCGGTCCTGTGTGGCCCCGACTTGCAGGACCACCCCCCACCCCCGGGTGGCTTTGGATAGTGGGGAGCCCCTATTACATCTGGCACACTACATGTGGCAGCTCCCTGAAGCTAAGCAGGTACAGCTCCGCTCTACTCCTGCTTGGGAGGCTGCCCTTTGACAGCCTTGAAGGTGCAGGAGATCGAACCTCCCCCCCAAAGTCGCCGCGTCCTGCACAGGTTTGCGGGCGCACGGTGGGCCAGGGGGGGTGAGGCGCAGAGCAAACCCACGTTCTCTTCCCCGCCCCGGAACGGAACAGGCCTCCCCCCAAGCTGAGGCAAGAGTGGGCCCTGGTGCTCCCCGGCCCGCGGCGCTGCGCACTCACCCTCGTCCGCGTCGTACATGGCGGCGGTTGAGGCGAGCGGACACCTCGGAACAAGACAGGCAAAGAAAGCAGCGACACGCCACCGGCTCCAGAGACAGCAGAGCAGCGAATGAGCATACGCCGGGCACACTGCGGCTGCGCCGATTCCTCGGTCGCTGTTCCGCGGGTTACGTTACGTCCTTCCGTCACTTCCGGATCGGTACTACGGCTGCGCAAGAAACCGACCCTCTGAGCTCTAACCACCAGCTGTCACCGAAGAGAGAAACAGAGGGGAGGGGGAGAATTTGCTATGCGCGCATGCGCTGTGCTCACTTTCCGTGCTGATTAGCGCATACCATTCTCTACGAAGGTGGGGGGTTGTAAATTTGGGCCGCGCCACCCGGAGCCCTGCGGGCAGAGCAGCCTCGGTCCCTGCTGGCTGGAGCTCCCCGAGTGCCCCCTGCTGGGGCTCCTCTTGCTCCGTCTGCTGCCCCACTAGCTACGTCTGTTGGCGGGGGCTCCGCTGCTACTCTCTGCGAGCTCCCACCGGCGTGTGCAGCTCCCTGCATCTCTGGTCGCAGCCCCGTGCACTGTGCCCCTGCCAGGCGGGGGACACACGGGATTCCTATCTGAAACCTCCGCCTTTATCCCGAACGTTGGAGACGCTCAAGATTCTCATTTAGAACCTCCGCCTTTGTCCCGAACGTTGGGGACACTCGGGATTCCAACTTGGAACCTCCACCTTTACTGCGTGCCAGGCAGGGCAGGCGGCGGGGAATCAGCACCCTCAAAGGCGGCTTCAGCCGCTGCGGAGCCTTCCCCGCGCGGGAGCCGGGCCCCCAGCCCTGCCCGGGGCAGAGCCCGGGGCCCGCCCCCGAGCGGCTCCGCCC